AGGGCAGTCCTGAGACTGCAGAGCTGGAAAGGGACGGGAGGGGCTTTGAACCCACTTCAGCCACCTGTGCCCCTGCTAAGGAGAAGGTCTGTTTTCCCCTGTAGAGAGGGCGAGCAGCTCCCCTGCCAGCCAGGACACCCTGCCGTTCTGAACTAGGTGAGCAGAGAGACCCTTCAATCATGGCGATCAGGAGGACATCTCCATTCTACAAAGGTAGGTTTCCCTCCCGTGCAGCCAGTTCACCCTGGGAAAGTGGAGCCCAGAGATGGCTTGGTGGGAGAAAGACGGAAAACAGACTGGCCCAGATGTTGAAAAACGCACGTGGGCTGGGGTCGCGGGTCATGGCAATCCCTTGTCCTGCGTGGGTGGATCCCAGCGCTGCAAACCCAAAAGCAAGTCCCCAAACCAAGGGGACACCAGGACCTGTGAGACATATTTCTCTGGAGCCAGCCGCCTCCCCTCTGTGAGTTTCTGTTTCCCTTCCTCCTGGGCTCCTGCTTCCTCACTGATGAAGGCTGAACACTGGAGAAGCCGTCAAGGCAAGCATGTAGAGCAGGGTTTCCTTAGAAGGCCGTCACCCAGACTTCTCCCGGGAGGAGAACGGGGCCCTAGCTTGTATCCTGGTATCCCAGGAAGTGAGGGTGTCCTGCCCTTTACACATCCTGGACCTTCTGTGTCTTCCTGCCTTCTTTCCCTTATCTTTCTCCTTCCTGCACACCTGAGTAGGCCCAGGAGATGTCCTCCGTGGAATGGCCAAAAGGTGAGAAGCCCCTGGGCATGGGGAAGGGCTAAATGGAGTGAGGGGGGAAGGAAGCCGGCAGGGAGAAGTGAAAGAACAACGTTCACAACTCCCTGAAGGGAGGGACARTTCCTGGRACAGGTTCTTAGCCCTGGGTTGGAGCAGAGCTGTGGAGGAAGGGCTCCAAGGCATGAACATGTCAGTACCTCGGGGCAGTCTCCAGCTTCCCAGACCCAAAYGGGCCTTCCCTCTCTCCTGCTGGACTCCTGTCTGCACACACTGCCTGTCTTTCATTCTGGCTTCATGACTTCTCTTCCTCCAGGGCTCCCCTGTCCCTGGCTTTAACCTCAGGACTGAAATCGAACTTGAACCTGAGTTTCCACACAGCACATTCACACCAGAACAGTGCCTGGGCCACACTGGGAATGCCTCCTCCCATCCTCTGGTGTTCACAGCTCTGGGGACACAGGGATCTAGGTGGCTGGCACCTTTGTGCAATCAACCCATCAGTCAATCTCAGTGCCCCTTTCTCCTCCCTTCCCTGGCCTAGGCAGTGGATGGTGGGCTGGGCTTCAGATGGGGTCTCAGTTCTTATATTGTATGGGAAATCCTTGTTCCTCTCTGCCGCTGTCCTTGACACCCACACCAATCCATTCTGTGACCAGATCCGGGGCCGGGGAGGAGACTCCCATGCCAAACAATCCTGCACTTCTTAGTGGGGACCAAGGGCTGTCCTCCAGTTAATCAATTGTGACCTACCAGGGGCTAGCCTCAGGGTCCTGGGAGCTGGGGGCTCAGGCCCACCAGACCCTCCCACTCAGAGGCCAGTCCCAAGTCCCAGCCTCTGCCAGAGCGGCACCCAGGCTCCTGGAGCCCCGCCCTCCTGGCAAGCATACAAAGCAGGGTTTATTTAAAAAGGGGTAAAATAGACTTCTCTTAGGAGAGAAGAGGGGCCATGAGTGGCATCCTACAAGTCAAGGAGTTGTGCCTTTTGTTGGTCCTAGGCTTCCTTTGTTCTCCTGCTCTCTTCTCCTTATCTCTCTCCTTCCTGCTACCTGACTGGGCCCAGGAGTTGCAGGGTGGGGTGGCCAAAAGGTGAGAGGCAGGTGGGCTGGAGGGGCCAAGGTGGAGTGTTCTGGGCAGGAAGGGGGCATAATCAACAACTCCCCGTAGGGAGGGTCGATCCCTGGGACAGGTTACCTTAGAACAGGTTGGAGCTGGGGCAGGTGATGTGGATAAGGTGGAGGAAGGCTTGAAGTTGTGAGCACTTCCATCCCCCCATTCTCTGGATCCGACCCTTGCCTATCTGCCTGTCTAGTTCTGGTTTCAATTTTATTAAACACTATAAGTCACAAAATCAGATCTAATATTCATATGTCCYTGGGAATACAATCTCTACAGTCTTTATAAATGCCTTATCATGAAAAAAGGATTTTTTTTCTTTAACTGGGGATTGAACCCCGGGGTGTTACCCATCGCCTTTTACTGTTTATTTGGAGATAACAATGTTGCTCTGGAAATTGTAGGGTCACCAGATGAAGATCTGTCAGATGAAGAAAACTATTTCTTGAAGTATCATAGAGAACAATTTTTGAAAGATTTCCCCAAGTGGAAACAGGAACAAGAAAAAACCATCAGAGAGCTCCGAGCCCGGGCAGATGAGATTGATGCCACCCTTGAACAAACCCACAAGATCAACGTGGTGGCCCACACCACAGCTGTCTTCTCTAGAGCCATGAGCCTCTTGGGGATTGCCCTCGCTCCACTGACCACAAGAGGAAGCCTGACGCTTTCAGCTGCTGGCAAAACTTTGGGGGCAGCAGCTGAGGTCACCAGTGATGTGACCAACCTGATAGAAGGGTCCTGCAATAAAAAAGTTAAAGCTCAGGCCACCGGGCACGGGCCTGCCAGTGAGCCAGAGTTGGAGCAGGTGGATGAGAAGTCCRTTCTCACAGCTATGACTAATATCATGGACAAGTTTCAAGACACCTCCAAGAGTCTCAGGAAGAGCAGGCGTGCCTACAGGGTAGCCCAAGCCAAGCCAAGCTTGGCTAAGGCTGCCAAGTATCGCCTGACAGGTGGCAAAGTCTCAGACAAAACCAGCAAGTATGTGCAGAAGGCCTTTGATGGCACACCTCTGGGAATGACCAAAAGTGCTCTCTTGGAGGGAGGTGCAGAGACGGCTGTCCACTTCGTGCGGGATTTGTGCAATCTCTCTGACACCTGGAAGAAACTGAAGGGTGGAGAGAGGGCACAGCAGGCCAAAGAACTAAGGGCCCAGGCCCAGGAGCTGGAAGAGCTGGTGACACAGTACAGCCACCATTATGAGCGGCTACAGCAGGTGAGCTCAGGATGTTGGAAGCGGGGCTTTGGCCCAAATCCTSGGAAACCAAGGTTGTCCAGAAGGGATTAAGGGAGTGTGTGCTTGTGAGTGTGGCAGTGAAGTTTGCACCGATGTCCTTGAGGACATAGCATATGGTGGCCCTGAAGGCCCAAACTGTAAGAGGTTCCCCTGGAGATGGCAGTCCTGCACAGACCTGGTCACCTGTTCCCTCTCCCTTAAGGCTCCTTTAGGACCTAGTGCCAGGAAGAGTATCTTCCTGGCTTTACACAGGAGGTCACTGAGCCATGGAGTGCTCTGGACTCAGTTATGTCCCCCTCAAATTATTCATCAAACGCCCAAGCCCAGTTAAAGCTCAGGCCACCGGGCACGGGCCTGCCAGTGAGCCAGAGTTGGAGCAGGTGGATGAGAAGTCCGTTCTCACAGCTATGACTAATATCTGGGGGTGGGGCTTGGGGAGGTGACAGGGTTGAATGCAGACCTAAGGACAGGCCCTAATCTGATGGGATCAATGTCCATATAAGAGGAGGAAGAAGATAGAGAGGGTCCCCCTGCCCCCAAAGCACCACACGGAGAAGCCCTTTAAGGGCACAGAGAAGGCAGCCACCTGCCAATAAGAAAGAAGAAGCCCCTGTTGGGAGCCCAGTGGGCCAGCACCTGACCTGGGCCAGCACCCTGACCTGGGCAGCACCCTGACCTGGGCAGCACCCTGACCTGGGCAGCACCCTGACCTGGGCCAGCACCCTGACCTGGGCAGCACCCTGACCTGGGCCAGGGGCCTCTGGGACTCTGGGAACTACGTGTCAGCTGTATGAACCACTCTCTCTGTGGCCTTCCATCATGGCAGCCAAGACCCGCCTGACGGGGTGACGTGGCTGGCCAGTGTCCCCCTCTGCTCCAGCTGCTCTAACAGTGTATGTAGACCAGGTGATTTGTGAACCACAGAAACGTGTCCTGCCCAGTTCTGGAGGCTGCACGGCCAAGGTCCAGGTGCCTGCAGAGGCAGGCTTGGTGCTGGGGAGGCTCCCTCTGCGTCACAGAAGGCCCCTTCTTGTCCTTCCTCACCTGGACGGAGGGGCAAGCAGGACCCTCAGGGCCCTCTCATAGGAGCC